AATAGAAGTGAGTTTTGGGCCCACGAGGACCCGTCACATACGCGCCGTGGATCCATTGCGGCGCCCGATAACCTCTGGCACGCGCTCTGCCGGTGCCCTTCTGTGGCCACGGCTTACTCTTAGGGCCGGACAACTCGTGCCGCACCGGCAACCACTTCCAGTCAATGTGTTTGTATAGTGTCTGCCATTTGTGGTTCTCTTGGATCAGATCGACGCGAGGAAAGGCTCCGAACACAGACGGATGCAGTGATACGATCGACAACTTCTTGGACTCCACTGAAGACATGTTCTCAACCCATACCTCACGAATTGGTGTCACATTTGGGTTCACTTTATGCATGTCTCGCAACTCACGAGTGATGGCCAGTGGAAGTGATTCCGGAGTGATTCCGATGACCGGTTCTTCGCTTTGGCTTTTGGTCGGCTCTTGTGTTGGACCGACTGTCGAGTAATTTCGGCATAATTTGTGGGAAACTCTTACGGCTTTGATGTCGTGGACAGGGATTTGGTTGAAATGTCTGAAACAATTGGTTGCGAAAAGTCTTAAGTTAGACATCATTTGCAATGTTTTGCTTCAATTGATTGTAAACACAAAAGCATTGATTCAAACCATTTGGCCCTCAATTGTGTGCCCTTTTTATACACGTATTGTTTATTGAGATAAGGCTTTAATCATAGCATAAAATGGGACCAAAAATAACAAAAATAAATTTCAATCATTTTTTTGCGACAATATTTAAATTATTGGTTAAATTACTGTATTATTAATACACATTTAATTGTAATTCAATTAAATCACTTCACAATTACTTTTATTTTAATTAAATATTTTACATAAATATAGAAATATAAGTAAAACTCATTAAAAAGGATGTGATTTTAGACTATAATCACAAATTGATTGATATTTGAAAATAATTTTTAAAAATGATTTATTAATGAAATTAAATTTAAGATATGGTTTGATATAAAAAGACTGGTATTAATCGTCGTCCGAATCGTCGGCCTTTTGTGTGGACTCCAAGTCTTGAGTAGCGGCCGCTAAATCGGTTCCCGAAGACTCTCGAAGTCGGTCTCCTATTTGTAATCAAATGAATCAATTATAAACCCAACAAATGGTGTCTTTTACTTACGGATCAGTTCTGCGATTGCCTTCTGTGTCCTATTCTCGAGTTTATCAAACTTTTTCTGTAGATTCCTCTTCAGATCCCAATCCACTTT